AACGGTTCACCGTATGAAAAATTTTTTTAAACAAAATTTTTAGAGAATTTTGTATTCTACAATATTGATAATAAATACAAATAGCAAAAAACCCATAGGAAATGAGATATTTACAAAAAAAGCGCAAAAAACCGATTTTTGTGACCTTTGACCTTGAAATTTAATAGATGCATACACCCTACCATATGTAGGTTTTGAGACAACTTTTAGGGTGTCAATATACAAGTATTTACAGACTTACAGCTGGGTATCTCGAATTCCGAGGTGAACTTACTATAATGATTGGACTAATAACCACCCAAATATGCTGAAGAAACTCAAGCGAACAATTAGTCAAACAATATCGCATCGCGACGCTCCTACTGTGAACAAGGCTATGTCATCTGTCCATCGATTTTGTGGTCTATCTATCTATATCTAGCCTTTCTTAATCTTGTTTTATCTTGACCATCTATTCTTAGAAAATCGAGCTAAGTACCTAGTCTAATTGCCTCTTCAACCTCAGCTAATTTCCTCATCTTCCATTTTAGACTGAGAGTACAGTATGTCCTTTATCGATTTATATAGGGTGAATTACGTGGATTTTAACATCATCAAATCTTTTTCAAAACACAAACGTTACAAACATTCCGTAATTGTTTTTAAAAACGAATCACAGAATTTTCAGCGCGTAATAAACTTTTATCACAAGGTATTTTCAATACGTAACATTGATTAGAAATGAACAAAATATTTCTAAAAAATATTTTGTATTAGAAATAAACGTTGGTGCCTGAATACAGAAAACAAATCGTTGTTTTTTTAAGATTCATCACAATAAATTTCATCGTGTTTCATAAAGACCCCATAAAAAAAGACCAATCAAATGTCCCAGATAGTAGAATCAATATTATTAATTTTTTTGAGCACTAGTAATATTAAATCTTTGAGTCAGCAAAAGAGTAGAATTATTGGTAAATAGATAATGGTAGGTACTCTTTGTAATCTCTTTCAAATAAAGACACCTGTTCAGACATTTACGTTTATCAAAAGACAGCTGGTTAACGCCTTTATTAATGGAACTTTGATTGATTCTTTTTGTATAGAGTCCAATTTAAATTTATTTTTTCGATAACCGCCCTCTTGACATCAACCCCATGGAAATATAAACAGTATAAAATGATGAACTAGGTACTAGATAAAATAAGAAATAATAATGAATATAAATGTGTATAAAAATTATTTAGGTGCTGAGATAAAAACAAGACTTTTCTAAAGGTTATTCGAAAATTTTCCAAAATAAACTGATACGAGTATAATCAAAGTCACGGAAATTTTGTTTAGGATAAAACCCGGAATTAGAAATTTCTTTATCAATTTGTTATTTTGAATAAACTTAGTTAACATAAAAGATAACATATAGACACCAATACTTCACATGGTATTAGTAAAAATAAAATGTCCTGGAAAATGCAAAAAACTTATGAAAAAGTCAATATTTAACTAAAAAAAAAAAGTTAATTGTTTAGCGTTGTAGTCGCTGTTATGAAGAATGATTAAACAAAAAGTTTAAGCTAACAAAAACTTCGGTTGGCAATAAGATAGATAATTACCCCAAAGGCTATTCAAATTAATCATAGCGGACGTTAAGGGCCGCCGAGAGCCATGGCAGGGCAAAATACTAGCAAGGGCCCGCCCTACATATTATAATCTATATTTTTAAAGCTGCCAAGCCCTTCCTGGGTCCTTGCCTCGGGGATTTTTCCCCCTTTCGTCGGGCCTGGTTATAGTGAAAAACTTGACCTTACCTAATGTTGCTGCGTTACTTGCAATTGTCACTATGCTCCCTTGCCTGTCGCATCTTCAAAACACAGCAACTGTAAGTGGGCTTAAGCTTTTCTCAGGCAACCCAGAGCTATCGTGGAGAGAATAAAACTACCTTAAATTTAAGCTATGATTCATTTGAATAACTGATATGGGTATGTTTTTGTACTATATATATTGATCATCAAAATTTTTTCAAATGAACGTTTTATTTAAAAAAAGCTTGTTTTTATTTCAGAATTGTTAAAAATTACAAAATCCTCGTCCTATTCGTGACGTAACACGCAACCTCAAAAAGTTGAAAAACGTTTGAACTTTGGCAAGTAAGGCTCTGGTCATAATGGCAACGGCAAGAGTTGTCTTAAGCATAAATCGACTAAAGGTTGTTTTAAATTTGACTTTATTTATTCCAATAATCATCTTGATAGATGGATTGGACACATGGAAAAAGCATGACGAAAAAGGATGAGGTAAGTGGAAACAGTAAAAGGAAAAAAAAACGAAAATCATAGAAAGAGAATTAGAAGAGCAATCTAAAGACCAAAGACGTGGGAAACAATGAAAAAATCAATGTTAAGCCCTGGTCACAGAATAGATGAACAACCCCTGATCCTCATTTTAAAAAAAGCGTTTGTGGAAAAGGAATGCCAAAAATTTCAAAAATATTCAAAAATTGGTGGTACGTAAGAAGAGGTAATTTCAAAGTGACATTATCCAAGTTGTAAATCATGAAACTCAAAACGTAGACACAATTTTATATCAAGAGTACCTACACGAGGATAGGCGTACGATTAAAACATGTTTTAAACCTTCTCCAGGGCATCCTGTTTACAGACACTTCGTGTTTTTGGATTTTATTTAGTATTTATATGGTGTACTGTAGAATTTTTTGAATTGATTAGACGTTTCAAATAATATACCTAGTCTTTTTACTTGAACTTTAATCATTCAGCCAGTCATTGAATGAATATAATGATTTTGCAAAATAACTTGTTTAAACAACAATGGCAACAAAACTAATATATCACAACGAACAAGAAAATGTAAAAAGACAATGCTTTCAAAGGGAAATAAACAAGGACACTTGTTTCTTATCCAGGGACCTATCAGGATATTTTTTTTAAAAAACAGAATTAGGCCACGACGTTTTTTAGACAATATAACAGTACCTACGTTATAATATATAAAACAAAGGTAACAATTCAAAGTTGAAATTGGACATGATTTGATATATTTGGAAGCAAAAATTATGAATATTTGCGAAAATACGATTTATAGACACCAGAAAGGAAGAAAAAAGTGGATATTAGATAACTATTAGGAAAGCGTAAATTACAATGTGAAAAGAAGAGAGGAAGATCAGGAAAAATACGTAGACTATAACAAATATGCCATAGAAGAGGAAAATCAATAGAAGATATGATTAGATTGACAAACATAGAAAGACATGGAAGAACTCGATAGCAGACCTTGAATCGATTTCGACTTAAGTACGATTTTCCATTGACGCATATTCGCCTAAAAACTTGTCGCAGTCGCTTAAAAATCGGTGAATCGCGCTAAAATAGTGATTTAAATTTAAATGAGCACCTCGTCCGCGACATTTTTGTTATTCCGGCGCTTTCATACGGGCACCGGACTCGAAGCTGTCTTTTTCTCCTTCTTCTTGCTCACGAACGTTTCGGTGGTGCATTTGGGACCCTCCTCGGGACTGTACGACCAGCGGACCTTCTCCTTCACCGGCTTCTCGTCGGGCGTTTTGCTTTTACGAGTTTTTAAAAACTCGGTGGCCTTTTGTCACTGAATTTCGCAGAATGGCAGCTTTTGACTGTCCTTGGTGTCTGAGTCGGCGTTGCTGAGTTCGTCGCCTTTGGGGCTTCCCGCGGTGCTTGTGCCACCCTGGTTTCCACTGGAAACAAAGTTTTCGCTTTAATTTATTTGAAAAAATACGGCAAAAAGTTAGCAGTCACTACAAGTAATTACATTAATTCATCATAGTTATAGTCAACTGTAAAAATTATGTACAACAATAGGTTTATGTGAGTACCAATAAGATTGGTAAGTCTAATTTACAGGCCAAGAACACAGTTTGCAAATTGTATTATCTAAAAAAGTGGGGGGTCAAAGGAACCCTGTTCACTGTCCCCCTAGAATTAAATTATTTGTGTCATTATTTGCCCTTAGTGTTATGTTTAATTATTGTATTTCTGTATTTTGGAAAGAGTTCAGTTATATTTTCAGAAAAGATTTATTAATATTTTTAAAATGTCCCTTAACTCGATACAAAAAATAATATCAATGAATAATCATCGATATCCAAAGCTTTGTTTTGAACAACAATTGTGTTTGATCGACTCAACAAGTATAAAGTAAAATTAAAAAAGTTCTTTGTTGATATTAATTGTGTTATGGAACAATTTAAACCATCCTTCTTTTAGTTCGTATAGAAAATATTTGTTATCCAAATATTTTACACATTACCACATGATTCGATTGTTAGTATAGCGTCTCGCTATCCTTTTATGTATTTATATAATTATTTTCCTACCTATTATGAGCCAAGTGCATACTTGCTCTTTAAATTACTGATCCAGGTTACCCGTACTCTTGCTCAATTGTGTATGTCCAACCGTTTGTTACTATCAGAAGAAATTCGTTAGGTAAGTACAGTTTGGATGTAATTATTTATAAATAGTCAAATATGAAATATTGAATTTTTACCTTATGGATCCAGGGGGGCACATTGATTGTCATCTAAGCGCCAATGTCGACACCATTGGAGGTCGGGTTGGTTTATTTTCTAAAATACGTTCAATCTCCGCCACCATATTCGTATTTAACTTCGGAATTAACTAAAAAATACAAAAATCATATCTTTCAATCCTTAAAATGTACTTGTAAGTCAAAATATTTCAAACAAATCAGAAAAATAATTTGTGCCACCAGTTGATACATATATCTTTTTGAAGAATGGGGGATAAAAAGACCATTCTTAAACAAGAAATATACCAACCACCAATCAACGCTCTCCCACATGTCACCCGTCAAACCATCGTTCTCCAGGAACAGTTTAAATATAACATTATCATACATCTACCCTATAGTCCAAACTTGGTACGCATTGACTACCATCTGATTTATCGGTGAAATAGGGTCGACTTTGGGTCGACGTTTTTCAAGGAGATGGAGATGAGCTGGTATGACATTGACATACAAAACATTACTGAGTCTACAAAATACATCGACCAAACTAGTGATTATACGAAAATGTATCGTGGCCCAATATCTTTGATCGTGGCTAAGCTAATAAAATAATAAAAAAAAATACCAAGGTTTGATCGTGGATTAAGACAGATTCTCTAGAGGTAGGTACCTAATAATCAATCCTATTTAATTCTTCAACTGTTCACTGATTCAGCTGCCACCATTGACACTTTAATTTACTAAGTCAAACATTTATATTCAAAATTTTTGTAAAAATGGACCAAACCGATAAAAGAAGAATAAAAACAATAATAATACCTCAAGGAGCTTTCGATGTAAATGACACTATAGTCCTCAAAGTACCAAGATGTCCGTCTTCATCACGTTACACAGAAAAACGAGCAAGAAGCTTGCGTAGATCTCATTCCCCTCCGAAGCAACAAATACGAGAGAGTTACTTCTACGATGACCCGCCATTACCAGCGTCAATCAATCATCGGTTGGAAAAAGCCTACTACCAAGGCTTTCATGAAGGTCAGAGGCTTGTTAGCACTGCTCCGGAAGATTTCAACACAAGAGATGCCTTTCTAGATACGTTAAACTATCCTCAGGGCATAAACCAGGCCGGTGAACACAAAGTTCGAACTATTAGAAACAAACATCAAGGTCATTACTATTCAGGCTTAAGACATAACACAATCCAGAACGATGCACAACGAAAAACGGACGACCAATTACATCCTAGTTACATTCCTGGACCTGTAGAAGGTGGATTTGATCCTCTCCTAGCTGAGAGGTACAAAAGAGCAGTACTAAGGCAGGATTTTGACAAAACTGATGAGTTATCTTACTCAGGGTATCCTGACGAGCACATGTGCGATGAGTACAATCAGTTTTATCCAGAAAGCCAAGAAAGTTGGATATCTGGTGAACATCAGTAACGGATTTGTGAATTTGTTAAATTGTAAAAAGTAGTGAATTGTGAATGTAACGTGGTTGTTACAATATAGTTTTGGAAGGTGATTCATGATTATTAGCATTTTTTAAAGTAACGTAGACTGAGAGCCAACGGGGTACAAAATTAAAGGGAGGATTACTTAGATTGAATCAGATAATTCAAATTACGTGACTTAAAATGGTACATACTACAAAAGTAATAATTAAATCATCAAATGAATCACAGCTGCTTTATCTAAAGGGGGTTGCGACGTAGCCTTCCATGTTGGATAGACGTATAAACGATTCAGGTTGAAAAAAATCTATAGTGTTTTCATATTTTCGAGTAAATTGAGGGTTTAGAATTTGACAATAATTAGTTCTGCACTAGTATGAACAGCAAATAAGTAAAAAACAAAGCAAGACTTAAAAATTTGATTAATCAAACATTGTTCATTCTACTTTTACCACATTGTACTTAATAAGTAGATCTCTCTCCCTCTCTGTTTTTATAACATAATAATTACAGGACAACCGATAATTGTGGTTTTCGGCCAACTTAAGCTGCTACTATTTTTCCCCTTGTCAGTGATCCTTTCAACCCCTTTAGATGTACCAACCCTACAAATTAATAATAAAAAGTTATTTACCTGTAAAGATTGTATACTATCGTAAAGTTGATCGACAGAACTGGCGCCTAGTAATAAACACTGGACCGATTCGTTTTTTAAACACCAAGCTGTAGCTAGTTGGGTCAAAGTACATCCAAGTTTTTCAGCCAGAGCATTTAGTTCCCTGATTTTTTCACACTGTCTTCTTGATTCGTCCGGCTGGAGTCTATCCTTCATCCAACCATAACTGGAACACTACAAATATAGGTACAATAATAATTTTAATATATTGACTATTTCTGGTTAGAAGAAATATAGATAATGGATTTTTGGTATGAAGACACAAGCGGATGAAGGGCCTATGTAACATTTTTTTTAAATGGTATTTTTCTGTGAATGAAAGGATTATGTACCTAAAATTTGTTTAAAATGTCTCTCGTGACAATATATCATCAAATATAGAAATTGCCAGTGGATAAAGGACCCACGTACTAGGGAATAACTGCCAAACAATAAACTTTAACACGAAATATCTCGTAAAAATGATTTTGCTACATAGGCCCTTCATCCACTTGTGTCTTTAATTATGTTTAGCAATACTGGTATGATTAAATTCCTGAATATTGGATTTAAAAGATACAAATCAAATAGTTTGTTATGAGAATTGTCAGAAGGGTTAGGAGTTATCGGAGTTATCGGAGTTATCCAGATAGGTTTGAACGATTCAAGAAAAAGGACTGTAAAAAGTTGTATTCAAAATAGTTCAGATACAGTTGAAATTAAAATAACGACAAAGAGAATAATTTAAATGAGTTAAAAAAGGAGCTAAAGTTAAAAAATCAGGATGGAAGTATTATTGGAAGGAAGCAAAGGTAACAGAGGTGTAGCAATAGAGAAGGCTAAGGAGATAAGTACAGAGAAAATGGTACAGTAGTAAAAAGACGTAGAGCAAAGACGAAGAGAAGAAGTGAAGGTGAACAAATGGGATCGACTGGATTAGAAAGGATGTAGGCAGACAGAGAGGTTCTTTGTTTATGTTTATAAGACTTTATACCATTTAATATACTTATATGTTTTAAAGCATATACATGATCAAAGATCGCAGTCAAAATAGTGTACGATCAAAATAAAATTGTATTTTCTTTCGTTTAAGAAAATTTTTTAATTATATTGCTGGACATTTCGTTCAGTTTTCAGTTTTTCTTTGTCAGATTTTTTTACCTCTTTGTTCGCAGCAGTTGTTTCATCCTCTGTCCACGAAAAAGAACTGTATTTATTCTTGAAACTGGCACGCGAAAATAACTGAACGCTACCACCTACGCTTCCGCTACCATCATCACGTCCTTGGGTGAAACCCATCGAAATAGGTGACCAAGCCATCAAACCTAAAAACAACCTATTTTAAGGATAAAATGAAATTGTAATTCTAATTGTAATTTCTGTACTTCAGGAAAAGTTACTGTATTGTTGGAAACCCAAAGTGAAAATTTTTTTAGGACGTTCATAAACTATTATTGAAATAGGAGGGCTTCTCAGATTCGCTTCCTTTTTGAATTTAGGGCTGTTGTGAAATCAAACAATAATAATAATACACTGGACTATCAAAGTTCTTATTTGTACACAGTCTACCAAAAGCTATCCGTTTTTCCTTAGATATTTTAAACATTTTTATAAGATATATATTTTAAATTACCAAAAAAATAAGTAAGAACAAGGTATCTCAATGAAAAAAGGTAATTCAAGGGTCATAGATCTTCCAGACGATATCATAGATCTTCTAGATGATATATATTAAAGCTTGCTAGCCAATTTTTCTTACCAACTCCTATTTTATTGTACAATTCTGGCATGTACAGTTCAGTTTTCTCCCGGCAAAACATGTGGTACTCAGTTTGTTCAACGATAGGCGTCACACAATTGAATTGTCTGCAGTTTGTGTAAGCTTCCATTATTTCGACGGGCGACCAACGTGCCGTGCCCCAATACATGACCCAACCTTGACAAATGGCGTAATGCATGGCTCTAACCACCTCTGCAACAAAAAATATGTTTCTTATTATTATTCATTCAATACCTGATTCCGAGTTTCAAAGAAGAATTTGAATAATCACCAAAGCTGACTACAGTCTTATCAGAGATTTGCATTTTTGCGAATCCTCTGATATTGGAACCAGAAGAGTACCTATATCCCGACGCTATTCATTGTATATTTGTGATATTTACTAAGGGTGAGATTACAGAACGTCTGCAACTTTGCAGATCTGAAAATATGGCGGACTTACAGATGCAAGTAGGGTCCGATTACAATTAGAAGAACGCAGCTACGTCATAACCATTATTTCGAATGCATATTGTCTATAACTTTCAATAAACAAAAATTAAGTAAGCTGTTAGGTGTAAAACAATATTTTCTATATTCCTATAATATTAACACTGCACTAATCCCCCATTAGGCGGCGATAACCAATTAATTACTTTGCCAAATGATGACGTAGCTGTGTTGTTCTAATTCTACCAAGTTTTCGTATTCCAAAAAATATTTGCAAATTCGCAATATGTATTGTGGTATATTACCCCCAACAACACTAAACCCAAATCCATTACTATGTTTAAAAACTCAGTAATCTGACACCACGAACTGTATTCAATCAAAAGACAGGAATACAATTATCCGAAATGCCCTGTGAGCACGCCTCTGTAATTACTGGATCAACTGTAACATGTCCGAAAGACACATCATAAAATTGTCAGCAAATTGTAAAAATTTCATTAAAATCGGTCAAAACGTTAACACCCTGTACATATGTACACTAAAAATGAAACAAAATTGGACAAACACCTTATTATTTTTCGATAGACTATCGATTGGTAAAATTCTGATGATTATAAACCTACCCTGTGTACACTAACAACGAAATTTTCGTCCGCCTTATGTATTAAATTAGAAAATTAAATTTTCATTAAATCGTACAAGCCATGTTATCTATTTTTTTTAAATTTATGGCCTTTGCATTGCAATTAACCAGACTAGTTTATATTTTTAGGTTACCTATTTAAACTAGCAATAAAAAATCATCGACATTACCACTTCTGGAAAACAGCATAAGATAAATAAATTATAATTTTAGCATTGTATTAATAATTCTATAAATAAACAGGACATCCCGTATACACTCTGTCTTGTCTAACCTATGTTTTACAAATTTTCCACCAGAGGGCGTCAGAGCAAAGCGGTTTCATAATAGTTTTTTTTTATCAAGTAAGCTCTGTGCTTTCTTTTAAACAATAAGAAAATTATAATTTCAAAATGGCTACGAGTTTAGAAGTGAAAAGTTATTCAAGAATAGTTTCCAGAGAAATTAGCATCCTTTTGTGATAGAAATTTGAAAAAGACGTTTGCGATAACTTTGAATCAAAGGTAAGGTACCTATATGTTTTGTTTACAAAGTGGATATTTGTTAAGAATAAGGAATATCGTCGTTGTTAGGTACTGCAATACCAGTTATGTACCTAGGTATATTGCGAAAAATTAATTTTACAGGAGCAGGAGACTAAGTGTAAAATGCTAATAAGCACTACATAATAATTCTTATACTTACATAGATTATAGTGGCAGATATAAATACAGTTTTCGTTATTATATTCAAATGCATGGAGCATAGATGGTTGCATACATACAAACAAAGCTAGAATTTCACTAAGAGACATACAGGGTGTTTCTAAATTCATGCGACAAAATTCAGGAGGTGATTGCTCTTATGAAATTAAGATGGGTCTTTCCTATAACAAAATTTCCTCAGCCTACCCCTTTCCGAGATATCATCCTTAAAAGGTGGTGACTAAAATTGAGTTTTTATTTTTTTTCTAAAATTTCAGTAAAGCTAGAAACTTAAAATTCTGTAATTTTCGTGCACTCGCAAAGGACTAACTACGGGTATTTTTTCAGTATTCCTGTTACATTATAGGGGGGTGAAATTAGCAACCCTTACTTTATTTCATATCAAAACTCTTTTTTGAGATGAAGTTTTATGAAATAAAATTATAACTTAAAATCCTTGTTTTATTTAAAACATTCTTTATTTTTATTTTCCAAAACCAATAACTTCAGAGAAAAAAAATAAACACTATAATTTATATTTTTTGAGTGGAAAACAGTAAAGATGTAAAATGTAATACGAATCATAACATTGAAAAAATAACCGTGGTTAGTCTTTTGCGAGTGCACGAAAATTACAAAATTTCAAGTTTCTAGCTTTACTGAAATTTTTAAAAATTCAATTTTAGTCACCACCTTTTAATGGTGATATCTCGGAAAGGGGTGGGCTGAGGAAATTTTGTTATAGGAAAGATCCATCTTAATTTCATACGAGCAATCACCTGCTGAATTTTGTCGCATGAATTTAGAAACACCCTGTAGTAGGTAGTATAGCTGATATATTACGAAAATATGGCTTTTTAGGTTAGTTAAGTTTTTTACGGTTTAATAAGGTTTTATAGATTTTTAGTTCATATTATGTCAAAAGTTATTATTAATAAAGTTAAAAAAAAAATAAAGCAAAACTTAAAAAATAAAATTTTATTATATTAAAAAATTATCCTGCAAATAAAAAAAACTATCATTAATATCAATATCAAAAAGAATAAATGATTTTTTATATAAATACACTCACTTTTGTACCCTTTACCCCGACAGTTGATTAGTAAAATTGTGAATTCTGAATATTTATCTTAAAAAATCTAAAAAAAACTGAAATTGCGGAATTTTTCCTTTTAGATTTATTAAAAAACCCATAAAACCTAGGTGCAAAAAACCTGTACCTGCCAACCCTGTCGGAGACATACAAAATTGTTAGTTTTTATTTATTTTTTCTCGAAAACGGAGTAAGAAAAAATTTAAATGACAAAAAAGATGTATTTTTAGTTAGTTTAAAAAAAAAATACTGAAAAATCAAAAATCTACTGGGCGATATTTTTGGTGCCCTATGAGCACGCCTCTGGAATTACTGGATCAACTGTAACATATCCAAGAGACAACTAATAAAGTTGTCAACAAAATGTGACATTTTCATTAAAATCGGTCAAAACCTTTTTAAGATATTAATAAAAAACTATTTATTAAAATAAACTTTAACACCCTGTACATTAAAAAAGAAACAAAATTGGACAAACTACCTTTGTATATCGATAAACTATTGACCGGTAAAATTTTGATGATTATAAACTGGACCAGCCTACCCTGTACATTATTATTACTACTATTATTATTACATTAGCAGATTAAATGAACATAATTTCCTCTATCTAATTTTAGTTACAATTTAAACTAGCCTAAAAAATCCTTCTCTGTAGCATAATTTTATTATGGCAACTATTAAAACTTGGGACATCCCGTATAAACACCCTAACCTATATTTTACAAAATTTCCGCTAGAGGCCGCAGAGCACGCCAAATGCCAAAAGTGTTTTCATTTCTTTTAACAAGTAGCTCTGTTTTCTTTTATTATTAACAAGGAAAAGATTTCCATCTTGCTTGCATTCAATTTCAACATGGCTACTTAGCATCTAGAAGTGAAAAGTTATCCAAGAAAATCGAGGAATATCATCATTTTTTGTGATAGAAATTTGAAAAAGCCGTTTCCGAGAACTTTGTATTTACAGGTGAGGTATTTGTTTTATTTATAAAGTGAATATTTGTTAAAATATTGTCGAATAAGGGATAGGTACTGCAAAACCGAGTAGGTATATCGCGGAAAAGGGAACTAGGTATAAAATGTTTAATAATTCCTACATACTTAGATCATAGTGGCAGATATTATAAATGTATTTTTTGTCTAGAGTATTGATAATACGTAATAAATTGCAAAGCATCATAGTGGGTTTCATGCAGAACAACGTAAAGCTGGGATTTCACTACTAGCTAATATTTATTACGAAAATATGGCTCGTCTTTAAAATAAACGGAATGTACATTACATGCAAGTTGTAAGCTTTATATCATCTTACATTTTCGTAATATATTAGCTATAAGATACCTCTTATAGTCTTGCAGTATCAACGACGAAATGACATTTTGTTGGTAGGTATTATGTTGAATAATTATAGGTAAGTACGTACCTAAACAAATTGGTATGTGTTAGAAGATAGATACATCAGTTTTTCGTAAATTGTTCCAACAACGATCAGAACCGAGTCACTGACATCAGAATTCTGTGCATTAGATTATTGGCACCCCCAATGTCTCTACTGCGCAGAACCCTGGTCGTTGGTGGAACATACTTATTATTTACAAAGGCAATGTGTAAGATTGTGATTGATACATATCTAATTATTGAATTACCTATGGATAAAATCAGTCTTATTCATAACTTGTTTTGATTCACAATATTTCAGTGAACAGGGGTTATTGGGAGTCGAAACGTGTACACGGTTTTTGAACAGAAATTTCTGTCACAGCTTTTTATATTTAAATAATAAATAGGTACACATTTCGCTGACTTAAAATTTTGTTACAATTTTGTCTCGTAGTTAGTTATTAGCACAGACACGATCTGAGTCGCGTAGAATAACCTGTCTATTTAAATAACGTAAGTTTTTGATGATAAACAAAAGTTCTATGAACAAAAAATACATGCAAAAAAATAATCCGTTATCCCAATATTTACAATAACAATAATAAGGTAGTGATTTATGTTTCTAATTTTGACATTTTTGTAATCGCAGCAAATCGAGGGTCACAGTGCAGTACCTCGTATATTTTTTTGCATGATTTTAACAAAAATTACAAAAACCGTTTTTTTATAAATTTTTCCATTTTATACTCGGGGATTATTACTTAGAGCCTAAATATCAATATATTATTGTCCAAAATAAACAGTTTAAATTATTTTGGGTAGATACCAAATGTTGTTCTGTTCATATTGACTGTAAATAACTAAAATGCAAAATAAAAAACTTACGAGGTCTTGCACTGTGACCCTCGAAATGTTAAAATGATCTACTTTACGTAACCAGTTGCGTAATGCTGAACATTAT